CCCCCCCACCCCCACCACCCAAAATCCCACTGCGTGAACCCGCTGCTCACTCCCTCCCCATCATCACCACCTCCATGAAGTCACCAGCACGGTGGTGACATCCCGACCCCTGCCCCTCAGCCACATTGAGGATGTCCAACATGATGACGTTGGAGATGGCCACCTCAAGCAATTCTGCTCACATATCACCCATTTCCTGCTGCCCCCCCCACCCCCAACACCCAACACCCCACTGTGTGAACCCACTGCTCAATCCCCTTTCTCCTCCACCACCACCACCGTGAGGTCACCAGCATGGTGGTGACATCCCGACCCCTGCCCCTCAGCCACATTGAGGATGTCCAACATGATGACGTTGGAGATGGCCACGCCAAGCAATTCTGCTCACATGTCACCCATTTCCTGCTGCCCCCCCACCCCCAACACCCCACTGTGTGAACCCACTGCTCACTCACTCCCTCCCCATCACCACCACCACCACCTCCATGAGGTCACCAACACGGTGGTGACATCCCAACCCCCCAGCTCACCCACATCGAGGATGTCCAACATGACGACGTCGGAGACGGCCACCCCCAGCCGGTTGGAGGCCTCCACCCAGATCTCGTAGGGCGTGAAGAGGGCCAGGTCCTTGGGGATGTGGCAGGAGTAGGGCCCGGCCGTGTGGTACTCCTGGCACGTGTTGTCTCGGCCGTACCACCTGTGGGCGGGCACCGAGTGCCAACATGGGCACCACCATCCAGCCAAGGATGCTCACCCATCCCCAGAGGATGCGTCCGCTCCCGGTCAGGCACCGGGGCTCGTTCATCTGCCACTCAACACCCCCAGCATCACATTGGCCAAGCGTTGGGTTACCAGACCCCACAGCTCATCCCGGTGGCTCCCAGCTCAACCAGGAGCTTCTCCTCACCCTCCTCCACCCCAGCACGTGGCTGAGACCTGAGGTAACTCATCACATCCCCACACAGGGGCCAGCCCGGAGGCATCAGGCTCCCCGTTTCCCCACCTTTAAATCCCACACTGGCGTGTATTTATGTATGTATTTTAAAGAATTATAGGAATTAAGAGGGGCAGCCCCACCTGAGCTTGTACTTGAGGGTGTAGTTGGTGTGCAGGAAGGTCTCCCCCTCCGTCCCCGGCGCCCATTTGCAGGTCAGGTCCTTCATGTTTTTGGACCAGCAGGTGATGTTGACCGGTTTCTCTGGGGGTACTGGGGAGAGGGAAATTTAAAAAATAAATTAATTAAGAGGCTGAGAGGGTTGAAAAGGCAAAAACGCAGCCCGATGGGGCCATGCCACCACCGTGGTCCCCACCGGCTGCAGGTTGCCAGCCCCGTGGCTACAAAGATGTTTGATGGGGGGGTGGGATTGGGGGGGTGGGTTTAGGTTCTTGCCTGCCCCTGCCTACACCCGGCCCCCGGAGCTGTTTTCTTCCAGCAACAACAACCCGAAAAACAAACCCAAGCCGTGTTCCCAGCTCAGCCTCTGTATTCCTTAGGACGTCGCATCGTCCTTAAAATAGCCCGAGATAAAAATCTTACGGTTATTGATTCGGACAAGCACAATTTTACCCCCGGTTTGCCAAAAACCAGCCGGCGCGGGCACCGGGCATCGCGGGGAAGGATAAAACCCATCAGCTGTTGCGAGCCCCCGATGAGTTTTTTTGGCAAGAACCGGGTGTTAATCCCCACGGGGATGCTCTGCCGGCATCCACCGCTCTTCCCCCCAACCCAGCACCCCAAAAAAGTTGGGGGGCAGCCCGGTGGGGCAAGGACACATCCCGGCAACACGCCGCCAGGTGAAACCCGGCACGTGCCACCGCCGACCTACGTCCAACGTAAAGGCAGGAGCCGGCCAAGATGCCCCCGTCTCTGCTGTGACACACCAGGTTGTCCCCCGACTGCTGCTTGGAGCCGTTGAGGCGGGCGAGGACCACGCTGAGCGTGGTGGGCCCCAGGGCGACGTAGGAGGCGGCGGGCAGGCGCCGGCCGTTGAGGGTCCAGTACAGGTCCTCGGCTTTCAGGTGAAAGTCCGGGCTGACCGTGCACGTGGCCACCAGCGAGGAGCCGATCAGCAAGGTGGGGTCTTGGGGGGAAATCACTGCGGGGTCTGCAGCCGGAGAAACAAGAGGGGAGGGGGGTGAAAAAAAATAAAGTTAGGGAGGATTTTTGATGTGTCTGTATCTTATATAGGCTTAAAATTTATTTTATATCCATTTAAATCTGGTTTCAGATATGTATTTCCCATTTAAATCTATTTCGTACCTATTTCTATCCACTCAACTCTGGTTTTAGATATATATTTTCCATTTAAATCTATTTCGTACCTATTTCTATCCACTCAACTCTGGTTTTAGATATATATTTTCCATTTAAATCTATTTTATACCTATTTCTATCCATGTAAATCTGGTTTTAGACACATATTACCCATTTTAATCTATTTTGCACCTATTTCTATCCACACAACTCTGGTTTTAGATATATATTTCCCATTTAAATGTATTTTATACCTATTTCTATCCATTTAAATCTGGTTTTAGACATATATTACCCATTTTAATCTGTTTTATACCTATTTCTATCCATTTAAGTCTGTTTTTAGACACACATTACCCATTTTAATCTATTTTGCACCTATTTCTATCCACTCAACTCTGGTTTTAGATATATATTTCCCATTTTAATCTATTTTATACCTATTTCTATCCATTTAAATCTGGTTTTAGATACATATTTCCTATTTAAATCTATTTTGCACCTATTTCTATCCACTCAACTCTGGTTTTAGATATATATTACCCATCTAAATCTATTTTACACTTATTTTTACCCGTTTAAAATTTAATTTTGTGTATGTACATATATAAAATATATATCTAGTGATCGATTTATGACGGTGCAGCCCCTGGCAGCAGCTCTCTCTCTCCTCCCAAGCGGAGGCAGGAGCACTCGAGGCTCGGCCGCGCTCTCCCCGTGAGCTCGGGGGCTCCTGGGGAGA